CAGGGACCGGGACCATGAACTAATGGTCTCGGGCTATGTGGGTCGGGCCCGGTCCTAAACGGGCCTAAGTAGGCCTTGACTATTTTTAAAAAAATTTTGTTTACGATAATTTCTTGTAAATTATATAGTATATATATATATATATATATGTGTGTGTGTGTGTGTGTATGGGCCTAAGTGGGCCTATTTATTTGTGAGGCTATTTATTTGTTTAAAATTTTTATCTAAGGCATTTACTTGTAAATTATATTATATAATTATGACTTAAAAAAATTTAATTCAAATTTAAAATNGCTCTTACTCCTGCAGTTCTTTTAGATGATTGAGAACTAGAAGAAGAAGGAGTTGGAATATCTGCTCCAACATTATCTAGTGCAATTTGATAAGCACTATAAATAGTTAGAGCATTTATTTTAATTGAGGTTTGTGCATCCGAAAGTATAGACAACTCCTCAGGTGCAAGTGTTAAACCATTATAAATAGATCGATACCAATATTGAGTACCGCCTAATTTCGTAGTAGGATTTAATATGGCAGCAATACCATAAATAGGGGGAATAGGGAATATTTTTTTAAAAAAATTTCTTTCTCATAGAATCAATAGTTACTTCATAAATTTTTCCACTCTCTAAAAAATAAGCAAATAAATTTGCAAGATCTGCAAGATAAACTAAACAGTTCGAAATAGTAGGATAATATTGCCCAGAAAATTCATTTGTAGCAACATGAAATCTTTCTAAAAAATCTACAAGCATTTTAACATTAGCCTAATCCGCATTTGTAAGGTGCTCATCATCATCACTTATATGAGCATTAAACGTTGAGTTTATGAGATTTTTATATTCATATGCAACAACTAAACTTTCATACATGTAATTCCATCTAGTTGGATAAGGTTTAGGAACATTTCTTTTTCTTAGGCCAAATTCATCGCATCTTTTAAAATATTCTCTAAGTCTATTTCTACAGTTTGAATAAAAAAACCAATTAAGAGCCATTTTAACCTTTTCAATTTCATCATTTAAAATTCTCATACCATCACTCACAATTAAATGGTAAATATGACAAATACATCTAACATGAAAAATGTTACTAAATGCAGGATTTAGTGTAGTGGTAAGCAAGGCTACATCATTGGTGTTACTAGTAGCATTATCCATTGAGTTGACATTATTTTATTACTAATGCAAAAATATCTACAAATATCTGTAACCGTGCTAGAAATAAACTGCCTTGTGTGACATGAATTAATTATTCTATAAGCAATAATGCGCTTTTGCATTATCCACTTCTCATCAATCCAATGACTTGTAACAGTAAGATAATCGCAATCATTACCACTTCTACCAATATTAGTAGTAATAGAAACACGACAATTAATATGAGTAAGTAAATAGCGCAAATATTGTTTATATTCATGTTTATATTTATAAATATCGCTCTTTACGGTTGTGCGAGGCCATCCTTTATAAGTAAAATTAAAAACTCTTTTAATATAATGCATAAAGTGGGGGTTAGACGAAAAACTATAGGGTAAGCACATAATAGTAACCATTTTTGCCAATTCTTCCCTATCTTTTCTTAGGTCATAATATAAAATGTCACTGGTAATAGTGTTAATTTCCGGTTGAAATTGATTTGACCCGGTACTAGGGTCAAGCTGACTAGTTGGACTTAACCCCCCGACTGCAGTTTTCATTTGAAAAAATTTAGCTTTATCTTGAGGGTGATCATTATGTGTCTCTTCAAACTTCCCGTCCCCCCCGATCAACATAGTTAAAAGCTAACTCTTTGCCACAAGTTTTACACTTAGCTTTATTTTTTTCTCTTATTTGAATAAAAAATGGCCAAACAAGAGATGTTTCGGCCCATTTAGAAGGTTGTCTAGAAAAAGTAGGGGTAGTAACAGGGGGTCAACCGGGGCATCATTTAGATTAGTTGGGTTAACTTGAGCAACATGACTAGTGAGTGCATCATCATCCGGTTGCGTTTCATCTAAATCTATTTCCTGCTCACCTTCTTCATCAATAGTTGGATTACCATAAAGAGAATTCATATATTCATGATCTAAGTTTTCGCCACCTCTAACATTATGCACATATTGACTCTCCGTAAATTGTAATAAAGTATTATCACTATCAAGAATGGGAGCAGGTGGAGGGCGGGTATGGGGTTTGGGTAGGGGAGGCCGGGGAATTAGAGGAGGAATAGAATGGCCACTAGATTCACAATTCTTGGATTTTCCCTTATTTTTACTAAATATTTTTTTTAAGTAATAGGTCATCTTAATTATAATTATACAAAGTAATTAAATAAAACAAACAAAACTATAATATTAAAACTAAAGAGTTGGAACGAGTTTACCGAATTGACGAATAACTTGTTGAAATTAATTATCGTTGAAGACTTGAATACTTCAATTCACCAACTTCGCAATTTTTCATATAAGTTGCAACAACAAAGTAACCAATTTTAGAAGAAAATTAGAGAGAGATTGATGATTTGGTGAAGAAAAATGAAAGAATGAGGGGGTATTTATAGCTGAAAATAGGGAAAAAGTATAATTATAAAAAGTTTGGGATTAAAATAAAGTTGGAAGGGTTAAATGACTATTTTGGCAGCAATAAGGCCACATTTTAAAGGTGCAACGGTCAGAAATTTAATTGAGATTGTTTTTTAAAATTAGCGGTTGGGGACAGGTTGAGACCGTTTGGGACCGGTTAGGAACGGTTGAACCGGCCCACTTAGGAGCCGGTCCCGGGCCCAAACGGTCCCGGCCCTAACGGGCCCCTACTGTGAACCGGCCCACATGAGCTTGTATGTCTCCTTTGTGCTGGGCTTAAACAAGTAGGACTGTTTAGGCCCACTACCCATATGAGCTCGCGGGCCTGAGCCGGTCCAGGGCCTAATAGGCCCACTTGCTACCCTTACCTATATCCGTATATTTTCACTGAGTTTGAATTTGTATTCAGTATATTTCTGGTTCTTATTCTTTCATTTATGGTGCAGCTCTTTTTGAAAAGTTTACATTGACCCCCTTTTTCTGCTTGTTCTGAATGGCATGTTGTGCTTTTGTCACGGACGCATTTCAAAATTTGGAACTAGACTTCATAGTCAATGTTTTACTTATCACTCTATCATTAACTAACTGTTTCTTCTTCTTTCTTTTTTCCAACTGCGCTGTCCACATTCAATGTTGCATTCACGTTTGACTTTCTTACTGAGTGGAATGTTTAGTTTTTTTTTTTCCACTTCTGTCACAATACATTAAATGCTAGGTAGATTAGCTAAGTTAATAGAAAAAGTTTATAGTCCTTACCTTATTTTATGTAGTCAGACATAGAGGGATTCCAAATGTATAATCCTCATACAGTTGTTTTTATATTCTTAGTATATTGTAGAAGAATTAGGATTAGAGTACTTTGGTCAGCCTAAAAAGGGAAATGGGAAAAAGAGAAAAAGAAGGGACTTAAAGGGTTCTTGTCTAAATTCTAAAGGTTGAAATAGTGGCCAAGAAATGTCATATTTTCTTTTCCTTAATTTTGTCTAAAAGTTAAAGAATTCTTAACCCTTCATCCCTTTTGATTGGAAATCATTCCCCTTTACATGAACTCAATTTTCATTTCATTTGCAAAAAAATCATCTCTTTCTCCACAATTTCTGTGCCATTTGATCCAGTAATGTTTGAGAAATACTGATTGTCACACTTCCTTTTTACACACCCGAAGGTAGTACAAGGGAGTTTTTCCAATTAAAGTGACATTATTTGTAATGGGATTATTTATTCATTTTTTTTAAGTCGCCACTTGGGATGGTTTGTTTTATGGGGTCCCAAATCACCGGTTTATTTTAAATCCCAAATCGAGGAAAATTTCGACTTACCGAATGGAGTCTGCGAACCAGAAATTCTGAATAAGGAATTTTGTTGACCCGAGGGAAGGTGTTAGAAACCCCCGGGTCCCGTGGTTCTATCACGGTCGCTTAAATTGTTATAGATGGCTAAAATATGATTTTAATACATGTTCAATCCTACAGTGCAATTTTAAATTATTTACCGCTTTGAATTAAATTTTAAGAAAATGAACGTCGTTTAAAAACGANAAAACGTGTTTTTGGATCACGTCACATGAAATGCACCCGGATCCTCGACACATTCTTATTCAACGTTTTGGGATTTGGATTTGGGTTGCATGAAATGCACACCCGAGTTTAAGAATGTAATTTTATTAAAATCGCGCCTAAAGAGTCTAACGCGTTATTATTTTGGGGAGAGCCGTGAAATTTGCTAAACGGCCTATCTTGCTTTCTAAGTATTTTAATGCAAATATTTATTGAGGGCCCCGCAAATTTGCATTTTTTTTTGTTTGGCGAGGCTCGTCTCATTTTTATTAAAGGGGTAAACCTAAAAGTGACTATGATTTTTTACTTTTTATTTGTTTCTAAAAATAAAAAGGGTCCTAATTAATTTACTGTTACGAAATAAAATCATAGTCTACCATTTAGATATTACTAAACCAATTGCCCTTTTTGAACTTGGGCCAAAACAACCCAAACCATACGAAGCTAGAAAATCGGACAAATATTTCACATAAATCCAACATTGGGCCTGAGACCAGCCCCAAGTTGAATAAGGCTGGTCAGATTTCGTGAAAGAGGTCGAGGGATCGAGTCCCTGAGTGAGATACTGGGCCGTCAGCTGCCCTGTCATTTTAAGCCCAATAACAAATGAACTCAATATGCTGCATTCATTTCAAATCATTCTAAACGTGCATTCATTGAGTGGAGAGAAGGAAGAGCAATGCATTACTCGTTAAATTATTAGGGGGTTGCCTATAAATGAGCTACTAAATACTACTGACGGTGAAGGTAAAGGATTAACTAAGCAATTTGGATTACTTCATTAATAATAATGGGAAAATGCTAAGCAATTTTCACAACTAATTATATAGCAAAGGTGACAAGAAAATGATTAGATTGAGTACGTAATTACCTCACTAACATAAACATGCCAATAACCTGGACTTACTTTATTCACAACTGATTAGATAACAACTATAACAACTAGAATAAACTATTATCCAGCCATCAATACCTGTTAACTACTGCAATAACAAACTGTTTTGATTTTTAGTTTTTAACAGAACGAGGCTAGTAGAATCAGGAAATACCTACTATTTTTTAAAAAACTAATGTTGAATAACCAGAGATCAAACAGCCCGTAACAATCCAGTATTAGTTCCAATTCAACACAGTTCCAACAAGCTAAAATTAAAACATTACTAATTAAACTACAGGTATTCAAATGGACGAAAACTTCATTTTATTACTTCACTTCACAGCTCCATCACACATGATTAGAATGTGTACCTAGAAATGGAATTTTTAACAGAATAAGGGGATCAGCAGCAGCAATACAACAACAGACCAAGAGATAATCAAACAGCAACAAATGCACAGCCCAGGAAATTGAATCACAGCCCAGAAATGATTGCAGAAATGTTTCAATTCAAACAGGATTAATAAACCACCCAGAACAACACCAAAATCACCCAAATAAACTCAAAAATGAACGCAAACCCCTTTGAAACTCTCAGCAAATGAAACTCAACCAAAACTGCTTACTCAGGCTCAAAATCACTCGAAATCGGACCAATAGACCTCTGAAAACCCAGTAACCAAACATTGAACTAGAAGATGTGATTTAACAACTAGAGATCAAAATTATCCTAAAGTTTCAATGGAACAGTGCTCTTTTTCTGATTTTTCTACTATATTTCTGTTTGTTTTTGGATTTTTGAGTAGCAATTCAGATCTAAAAGAAGGTGAAAAACTATAAGACTACAGATTTTTGAACTTCTAAAATTTGAAATTCAAACTTTGATTCAGATCTCAGGAAAGGTTTTTTTGGGGAAATTTTATGGCTAAAAAAACACCCCCTATTCAAGGCATTTGTGATGCCTTTTATAGGCAAAAATGAAGTGCAACTTAGATTTTTGTTTTCTTTCATTTCAATCCCTCTTTTATTTTCAGTTTTTAACTTTTCACCCTTTGTTTACTGACTTGTGCTTCAAGTAAGTACACTTAGTTTTCTGAAATTCTAATTTTACCCCTATCTAAAAGGTTCTAGGAACTTCAGGTTTAATCTACAGCATTTCTGTATCTTACTAGTTACCCGAAATGCCCTTGAACTCATTTGAAATTACTAAATTAGTCTAACCCAACTCAACTCCTAACTATGATTATCTAACAACTAACCCTAGTTAACTAACAATCTTCAGCAATCCAGACAACGGCAAAGTAATCAGCTAATGAAGCAATGTGAATTAGAACACATATCAAAGAATGATTAGAACCCAATTGGACTAATATCCAAACCTATCCAACAGAATTAATCGATTATCAAAACAAGTTTTAATCGTAACAAATCATATTCTAATGAAGTCATGCTAATAATCAAACTAAACTAAAAGAAAAGCAAGACGAATTACAGTCTAAGTAAACAACAATCAGACACAAAATTAGGATCAAAATCAACGGAAACTTCTTAAACTAGAATTTAACGAATATGATCACAGAAGCAAAAATAAAAGAATTAAACAAAGGAAAAAAGAAAACAAAAACTCACTACCATGGCTCGAAGTCCGGCTGACTTTCACACTTCAAATTCGGCCGTCTCTAGTGGTAATTGAGTGTTAATGACATTGAATTCTTGATGAGGAGGGCCCAAGGGACATATGGTATCATTTTGGGGCGAGTTGGTGTGACTAGGGTTTTGGCCGGAAAAACATAAACTGATATTCGAACAGTTCCGACGGGATTCGAGGGACGGGGTTAAGGGGGTTCGATAGAGGACACTGAGGCAGTCTTGTGGTGTAAATTTGGTGGTGTTTGGGCAAGGTGACGTTTTGGCCGGAGTTTCTTTGATCTAAGATTCGAAGGTTTTGGCTGTGATTCGAGGAAAAAGGGGTATGGATTTGGAGAGAGGAAGGAACAGGGAATCTAGGTTGTATTTTTGGTGGCATTTGGAGGTGGGCTGCCGCCGTGGGCGATTTCCGTCGGTGGCGGGCGGTGGTGTTACACAGAGCTAATTAGGGGTGGTTTTGGGACGATGACTGAGGGGTGAGGGGGTGTTCCGACATCTTTATACTAATAAACCTAGAATGCTTCTCATCCGTTAGATTAAAATTCAAGGGCCGCGATTTAAGTGATGGAACAACCTCGTTGAAGGGGGAAGCGAGGACTGGATCGGGTAGGGATAATTTGGGCCTGGGTTGGTTTGGGCCTGGGTGGTTCTTTGGGCTCAGATTCACCTAAATGTAACAGCCCAGTTCTCTTTCTTTTTATTTAATTTCTTTTGTTTTTCCTTCTTTTATTTATTTGTTTTTACTTATTATCTTCTTTTTTTTTGAATCTTTTGATTTTATTATATAAAATAAAAAGACCCAAATTAAATCTAAGATGATACTAATTACTAATTCCTAATTTAAGAGGAAACTAATTAAAAAATATATAATGTAAAATTTGAAATTGTAAAAAGACTATTTTTTGTTATTTTTCTCTTATTTTAGTAAAGTTAATTAACTAGTAAGCTAAAATATAAAATCAAAATCTAAATGCCAATACACTATTTTTGTATCTTTTTTATGAATTATGGCAACTAAAATGCACAAAAATACAAACAAGACACAAAATCAAGCAATTAATTCCTAAAAATTCAGATAATAAAGAAAAATTCTAATTCTAAGGAATTTATAGGAGTAATTTAAGCGTGGCAAAAATCATGTGCTCACAGCTGCCCCTCTTTGCTCGAAGACACGAAGGGTTTTCGGGCAAAGATAAATGAGCAACCATGAGATTTTTGCCCGCTTAGCACTCCATGAGAAGCATTTTGAAAACCGTCTGACCGAACCTTGCTTCAAAAGTTGCCTACATATCCTTGGCTATAAAGGAATCAGGTCAGTGTAGTTCGGGAGTGTCTGGTAGCTGGGACTACCGGGAGCTGTGATTTCACCACTATTGCTACTGCTACTGCTTGCTGACCTCCTTATTACACCAAAAGGAAAATCCAAGCTAAGCTAGCTATGCCTATCAATTACGAATTACACGATTCCTATCTATAACTCTCTTGAAACTTGATCTTGAGTCTTAGCTGATTTTGCTGTAGACTTCGACCTGAATTTTGATGCTCGCAAGTTGTAGACGCTTGTTTCTTTCTGCAGTATTGAGTCAAAAACTGGATTGGCGGAGCTTGCGACTTCTATCAGATTTTGGGCAACCCGCACCTTTATTTGCTTCAGCACTTGAGCTCATTTCTTTTTGTTCTTCTTCTTCTTTTCTTTATTTTGGATCGAGACTCATTCCATCAGTCATTTTTTATTTTGAGGTCAACCTGCTTAGGACATCAAAACAAACAAACAAACGAAATTTTCTGCCCCAGTTTTTCACTAGGAAAATTTCGTGAGTTAGTTGTGACATATGTATAAACATTCAGATTAAGATTATGTAAGTTTGCGGAAAGGAATCCTCGGTTTTGGCCGGAAGATCCTCGGCTTTTAGCCAGGATTTGGAAAGAAAAGGCTCCTTGATTTTTGGCCGGGAGATCCTCGACTTTTGGCCGGGATGTGGACAGAAAAAGCTCCTTGGGTTTTGCCAAGGAGATCCTCGGTTTTTGGCCGGGATTTGGATAGAAAAAGCTCCGCGGTTTTTTGGCCGGGAGATCCTCGGTTTTTTGGCCGGGATTTGGATAGAAAAAGGCTCCGCGGTTTATTGGCTGGGAGATTCTCAGTTTTCTGGTCGGGATTTGGATAGAAAAAGCTCCGCGGTTTTTTGGCCGGGAGATCCTCGGTTTTTTGGCCGGGATTTGGATAGAAAAAGCTCCGCGGTTTTTTGGCCGGGAGATCCTCGGTTTTTTGGCCGGGATATTTTAAAGAATAAGGATTCTATACCACCATGATTTGTTTTCTTTTGGGATTTTCATTTTATTTCTTTTCTTCTTTCTTTTCTTGGTTTTTCTCTTTATATGTTTTCCTTTTATTTATCAGAATGTCTGAAAGAGTGTTGAGGAAACTTCCTTTTTGGTCGTTTACCTGCTGCAAAGCTGTTTTAGCACTTGCGCCTTTCATTTCCTTTTGAGTTGCACCTGCTTCTTGCAAGGTTGCTTTGAATAATACCTGTTTTCAACAAAGAACAATTTGTTAGTCGAAACGGTTGTTGGTTTTGTGGCCTTGATCATTCCCATCACTTGATCGCGTCCCCATTTCCGTCGAGAATTTTTCTGCTTGTTGGTCTTGAGGGTGAATCTCTTTTCACACTGACCGGGTTCAGCCTTTGGATTTCATGATGACTTGCCCGTGTGGGCTCTAGCCTTTCTACCTTATTCTGCTTTTAGGACCTTTGCCTTTGATTTTCTTTCTTTTTCGATGTCTTTTACTTTGGAAGCAATCAACCACCATGGTCAGTCGGGATTGGACTGATGCACCACTGAGGCTGGGTATTTTCTTCGACTCTTGCCAGGCAGAGTCCTGTGAAACCGGTCCTGCCACGTTTCTTTGTAACAGTTTCGGAATTCAGAGTTAAGCCAAAAGGGATTCAAGGAGAAGTAAACAGAGATCAGGATAATGGATTTTAAATAGAAGCGTCCCTTTCGGGGGAAAAAAGGACTTATCTGGGGTGCATGCTGGCTTCAAACTGACATGACATGCTTCTTGGACTGGATGCCCGACCCGTACTAACTTTCGGCTTCTCATGAACCCATTGATCCGTGTCTCCAAACCAGAGAAACTTGCCAAGACTTTTAGTGATGAAATATCCTCTTTTCGGCCGACAACGCCCTTTGAGGGTTTTCGCTAATTGACCTCTCTCATTTCTCTTCTTACCGTCGTCCGATAGTGCTCTTTACGAGTTTTCACTAAGCGAACTCTCTCATTTTCAATTTCTCTGCTCCCGTCGCCTTATGGTGCCCGAAGGTTTTCACCGATAAGACTCTCTCATTTTATTCCTCTCAATTTAGAATGCATCGGCTTTCAATGATGTTTCTCAGTTCCCATGCCTTTGGCAGTTGATAAAAAGGACTTGTACCGGATTTTGGGAAAAAGAATTTTGGACAAAATTACAACTTTGGAACCATTTGTATGGGTTCATGGTTGATCTATTAAAACATCTGCCCCAGTTTCCATTTCGGGGAAATTTGTTTTTTTGTTCTGGTATGACTGAACCCCAAGGAGAGGCTGTCTACGTATCCTTTCGGAATCAAGTCAAGACGTAGTTCAAGAAACATTTTTTTTTTGCATCTTTCTTTTCTCTCTTTTTTTTTACTTTGTTTCTTCTTTCCTTTTTCAATATCGCTTTCGGGTTCCAAAGAGGGTAATCAAAGAAAAATAACCGGCTCAAATGGGTTTGCCAATGGTTAGTAGTGTTTGGGTAGCGGGAACAAAAGCCTTCGTCATCTTAATCGCGCAAGGACGTCACCTGAAGCAAGCTTAGACATAATACCTTTTTACTGCATCCGTGTTCACAACTGCTTCGGGATCGTTTCCTTCAATGTCACCCAAGTATAATGCTCCTCTGGGCAGTATTTTTCTAATGATATATGGACCCTTCCAGTTAGGAGCAAACTTTCCTTTTGCTTCCTGATGATGAGGAAGAATTCGCCTCAATACCAACTGCCCTACTTCAAATTTCCTGGGCCGTACTTTCTTGATATAGGCGCGGGCCATTCTTTGTTGGTACAACTGCTCGTGACAAACTGCGGCCATCCGTTTCTCATCAATCAAAGTCAATTGTTCCAATCGAGTTTTAACCCATTCACTATCTTCGATCTCTGCTTCAACAATTGTCCGGAGCGAAGGAATTTCTACCTCTGTCGGTATCACAGCCTCAGTTCCATAAACCAACAAATACGGGGTTGCTCCTACCGATGTGCGCACTGTAGTGCGATATCCCAGTAAGGCAAAAGGTAACTGTTCATGCCACTGTCTAGAGCTTTGGATTGTCTTTCTCAAAATCTTCTTGATGTTCTTATTCGCTGCTTCAACAGCGCCATTGGCCTTGGGCCGATAAGGAGTGGAGTTTCTATGCGTTATTTTGAATTGTTCGCATACTTCCTCCATCAAACGACTGTTCAGGTTCGCAGCATTGTCTGTGATAAAAGTTGCAGGAATGCCGAAACGACAAATAAGGTTTGAGTGTACAAAATCCACTACAGCTTTCTTAGTGGCTGTTTTGAGAGTGATGGCTTCGACCCACTTTGTGAAGTAATCAATAGCAACCAATATGAATCTGTGCCCATTTGAAGCTTTCAGCTCGATCGAACCAATGACATCCATACCCCAGGCGACGAAAGGCCAAGGCGCTGATATGGGATGTAATTCTGTTGGAGGTACATGAATCAGATCTTCGTGCACCTGACACTGATGACATTTTCGGACAAAGTTGAAGAAATCTTTTTCCATAGTTATCCAATAATACCCGGCTTGAAGTATTTTCTTTGCCAGGACATACCCGTTCATATGAGGTCCACACACTCCTGCGTGCACTTCCTGCATGATTCTTCTAGCTTCCTCAGCGTCAACACATCTCAATAAATTGAGATTCGGGGTTCTTTTAAACAAGGCCTCACAACTCAAAAAGAAACCGCTCGCATGCCGCCTAATGACCCTCTTTTGATCTCCAGTAGCATGTTCGGGGTACTCTTGTATTTTCAAAAACCTCTTAATATCATGGTACCATGGGTAGACGTTTGGCCTTGCTTTAATTGCATTACAATAACCATGTCTTTCCCTGATTTGGATTTCTAAGGGATCGATGTGGGCATTTCCCAGATAAGGCAACATCGAGGCTAAAGTAGTAAGTGCATCAGCTAGCTCATTGTGGCACCGAGGGATGTACCTAAATTCTATCGATTTGAATCGTTTGCCGAGATCTTCCACATGCTGCCGATAAGGAATAAGTTTGACATCTCGAGTTTCCCACTCTCCCTGGGCTTGCCGGATAATCAAATCTGCATCCCCCATGATCAATAAATCTTCAACATCTTGGTCAATCGCCATATTCATGCCCATGATGCAGGCTTCATATTCAGCAGTATTGTTCGTACAGAAGAACCGGAGCCTAGCTGTAGCCGGATAATGCTGACCAGTAGGCGAGATTAAGATTGCCCCAATCCCTACACCATTGGCGTTCACTGCCCCATCGAAGAACATTTTCCAAGCATGAGTGTCCTCGGGGACTACTTCTATTGTGTTTACCTCTTCATCTGGAAAGTATGTGCTCAACGGTTGGTATTCTTCGTCAACCGGGTTTTCAGCCAAATGATCTGCCAACGCCTGGGCTTTTATTGTCGTGCGAGTAACGTAGACTATGTCAAATTCCTTGAGCAAGATTTGCCATTTTGCTAGTCTCCCAGTGGGCATCGGTTTCTGGAATATGTACTTCAAAGGATCCAACCTGGTTATGAGATAAGTAGTATGAGCTTGAAGATAATGTCTCAACTTTTGAGCAACCCACGTCAAGGCACAACACGTTCTCTCCAACAAAGTATATTTGGCCTCGTAGCTAGTGAACTTCTTACTCAGATAGTAAATCGCTTGCTCTTTCTTACCGGTTATATCATGTTGCCCGAGGACACAACCAAAAGAATTCTCCAACACTGTCAGATACAAGAAAAGAGGTCGCCCAGACTCTGGTGGGACCAAAACTGGAGGGTTCGACAGATATTCCTTGATTTTGTCAAAAGCCTCTTGACATTCAGATGTCCATTTGATTGCTATGTCTTTCTTCAATAGCTTAAATATGGGCTCACATGTGGTAGTTAGTTGGGCAATGAACCGACTGATATAATTTAACCTGCCCAATAAACTCATCACGTCTTTCTTAGTTCTCGGAGGAGGTAGATCTCGGATAACCTTTATCTTTGTTGGATCTAACTCGATACCTCTCTTGCTGACTATGAAGCCCAGAAGTTTGCCTGATGGGACTCCGAAGGCACATTTAGCCGGATTCAGCTTCAAATCATACTTGCACACCTTTCGAAAAATTTTCTCATGTCTCGAACATGATCANGTCACGTTTAGCTGGATTCAGCTTCAAATCATACTTGCGCAACCTTTCGAAAAATTTTCTCATGTCTCGAACATGATCATCCTGAGTTCTGGACTTGATAATCACATCGTCCACATACACCTCTATCTCTTGATGCATCATATCATGGAAAATGACGGTCATAGCTCTCATATAAGTTGCCTCGGCATTCTTCAACCTAAATGGCATGACCCGATAACAGTAAGTGCCCCAGGGTGTGGTGAAAGCTGTTTTCTCGGCATCTGCTTCATTCATCAACACCTGGTGATATCCTGCGTAACAATCCACAAAGGACTGTATCTCGTGTTTGGCGCAGTTATCAACAAGGATGTGGATGTTGGGCAAAGGGAAATTGTCTTTAGGACTTGCCCTATTCAAATCTCGGTAATCCACACACACGCGGGTTTTCCCATCTTTTTTTGGCACGGGAACTACATTAGCCAGCCACGTAGTATACTGGACCACCCGGATTACCCCTGCTTTTAACTGTTTTGTGACTTCTTCTTTGAACTTATCACTGATATCAGTCTTAAACTTTCTTTGTTTCTACTGAACCGAAGGACAATCAGGGTAAATTGGCAATGCACCACTAGATCGACACTCAATCCTGGCATATTATCGTACGACCAAGCAAACACATCTTTAAACTCAAACAGAAGTTGAATTATTGCATCCTGCGTTTTCTCATCAGTGTGAATGCTTATTTTTGTTTCCCGAATTTCTTCAGAGGTTCCCAAATTAACCGGTTCTGTATCATTCAAGTTCGGCTTAGGTTTATTCTCAAATTGTTCCAGTTCTCGATTTATTTCCCTAAAAGCCTCTTCTTCATCATATTCCGGTTCTTGGTTCATGATTTCACAATTAGACAGCGTGTTTGGATCTGGACGTGAAGTCCTCAAGCATGTCATGTTATTTAAAGCCGCATTATTATAACTGAAAAGAAGAAATAAAAGAGAAAAATAGCAAAAATCAGAAAGAATAAAGAGAATAAACGATGAAATATTGATTTCATTTCTTGGAATTGGGAAGATAAAAGGGTTTACATTCAGGAATTTAAAGATAGGAAACTTAAAGAACAAACATCCGAGTTACACCCTGGGATAACTCGTGATGTAGAAAAAGTGGCAGGACAAGTCTACCTGGACTCCTGCCTGATCGGGAATGGCGTAGCCTTCCAATTTTGGAGTTTAGCATCTGGTCCCATGTAGAGCACCTCCGCGATGCTAGTACCTTCCCCTAGCTGAACCATGTTGGTTTCATAAAGCATTTGCCTCATAGATCCACATATATCTTCGATTTCTTCGGCCGTGAAGGCCTCGTGATCTCCATTCTCGCTGTATTTTGGATTGACAAAGGTCTGATATAGATGTGGCAATGGTTGTGGCAAGACCCATCCTTCCCTTTTCCTCTCATCTGCCCAATCTTCATCTTCTGGGGTAGGGTTGAAACCTATCCCGAAAAACTTTTCTGTTGTGGATAGGGTTATTGGCTCCGATATTCCTTGTAGAGCTTTTCCGAATCCTTTTCCTGGCTTGAAACCATATTTGACCATCGCTTTTGCCACCATGATCGAAGCATTAGATAGGAAAGGTTGGGGACAAGGGCTCCCTTCTTCGTACTGATCCGCCACTACAACTTCGAAAGCCTGATAAACAATGTGTTCACTTCCTTCCCTAGCCTCCAAACATGGGATAGATGGGTCCCGATAAATAGACTGCTCGTCTTCTCCGTGGACCACAATTTCCTGATCTTCATACTCGAACTTTACCATTTGGTGAAGGGTGGAGGGCACAGCCCCTGCGGCATGGATCCAAGTCCTTTCTAGAAGAAAGTTGTAAGATGTATCCATGTCCAACACTTGGAAGGTCACCTCGAAATCCACCGGGCCTATGGTTAATACCAGATCTATCTCTCCGATGGTATCCTTTTTAATGCCATCAAAGGATCTTACATAGATGTTATTGGGACGAATCTTTCCAGTCCCGATCTCCATTCTCTGCAGTGTAGAGAGTGGACAAATGTCAACACCTGAACCCCCATCCACCATTACTCGCTTGACATAAAAACCTTCACACTTGACAGTCAGATGTAAAGCTTTGTTGTGAGCCACTCCCTCTAGAGGCAAATCGTTCTTACTAAAGGAAATTTGACTAACAGCAAAGAACCTTTCTGCCATTCTTTCGAGTTGTTCAACTGAAGTCTCAGCAGGCACATACGCCTCATTCAGAGTTTTTACTAGGGTCTTCTGATACTCGGCAGATCTCTTTAACAAAGATAGCATAGACACTTGTTCAGGGTACTTGCGTAACTGATCCACCACTTCATAATCAGGCATCTTCATTTTCTGGAAGAAAGCCTCTGCCTCCTCAGCACTTACAGGCTTCTTGGGTGGAAAGCGCTTTTGTATGGCATTGTTCACTTCTTGTACATCTGAATTTTTCCCAGCGAAAGTATTTCCCGGAAGTTCTCCCGTGATTTCTTTACCTTTGTATGTAACCAACGTCTGTTGATAATTCCATGGCACCGCAGACGGGTCCGTTATTGGCTTCTGTGGCACGCGTCCGATAATCACTGGCTCATTCAGTCGAGGCCGTTTAATCGTCCCTCGGACCACATAGTCTCCTTTTGGCACATACGTTGGTGTTCCCTTTTTCACTTCAAATTTCTTTGAAATACCCACTACTAACGGCTTTTCTTGGTGACCTCGCGGAATATAGAGAACTTCATTTTTTGGAGGCGCCATCTCTGCCTTTGTTTCAACCTTCTTTTCAAGTTCAATCTTGACAGTTTTAGTCTTTTTTTCCCCTTTCTCCTGCTTCAGGGTTGCTTTAGGCTTTCTTTCTGCATCAGCAATAGCAATTATAGCTTTCAAGGCGGGATCAAACTCTTTGTCTTCAAAGATCATCCCGATTACCGGCCCGTTGTTATGAGCGGGCAATGGATTATTTGTCACATTCGGGGCTTCTTCATCCCTCAACACTATTTTTCCTTGTTCAATCAAATTTTCCACAGCTTTCTTCAAGGTCCAGCAGTTATCAGTACTATGCCCCTCAGCTCCTGAATGATAAGCACAGTGGACACCTCGTTGGTAAGCTGGAGATTCTGGATTCTGCCTGTTTTGGGGAATAGGCTGCAGCAGATCCATCTGGACAAGATTAGGGAACATGGTGGAGTAGGGTTCACCGATTGGTGTAAAGTTGGGTCTCCTGGGTGGTTCCCGGGGGCGAAAGTTATTTTGTGGTGGTCGGGGATTATATTGGTTCTGGTAAGGAGGTTGGTTTCTTTGGAATGGAGGTGGATTTCGGTTGGCTTGTGGTTGCGGTCGGCCGAAAGGTTGAGCATTCATGACCGCATAAGGTGAGGGAGCATAGGCCATATCATTGTGAGGATAGTGGTGTTGAGGGGTTCTTTCGGAGAACACCGGTCTATGATCCCGGTATCTCCTTCCTCCTGACGCTGCCATGACCGTTTCTTCTTTCTTTTTCCCTTTGGCCATTCCTCCAGACCCACCTTGGATGGCTTGGGAGGTCGCTCTTATGGCCGACTGGCTCAAGATTCTACCCATTTTCAGACCATTTTCTACCATTTCCTCGATTTTAATTGCTTCTGCGAAAGGCTTTCCCATGGACGACATCATATTCTGGAAGTAATCGGGCTCTTGGGCTTGCAGGAAGATAGTGACCATCTCTACCTCATCCATTTGAGGCTTCACTCTTGATGCTTGTTCACGCCACTTAATGGCATATTCTCTGAAGCTTTCTGAGGGCTTTTTCCTTAGATTTGTCAAAGAATTCCTATCCGGTCTAATGTCTATGTTGTACTGAAATTGTCGAACAAAATCTCTGGCAAGATCGTCCCAAATGTGCCATCGAGATATGTCCTGATCCATATACCACTCTGAAGCTATGCCGATTAAGCTTTCCCCGAAATATACCATCAACACATTCTTCTTTGCCACCGGCCCCCCGTAACTAATTGCAATACTTCTTCAAATGAGCAATGGGGTCGTCGTGCCCGTCATACTTTTCAAATTTTGGTGTTTTGAACCCTGACGACAAGTGTACATGCGGAAACATACACAAATCTGTATAAGAGACACTCTTTGGCCCGCTCAAACCTTGCATGTTCTTTAAGCTCTGTTCAAGGCTCCTCATTCTCCTGGCCATCTCATCTTGCTCTGGGGCTTTAGGGGTTTTATCTTGCCCTGGTGTAAACTCATATGGTGGTGGCTAAGGGTAAGCATATGCGGAGTATGGAGGAAGTTCTGGCTGGTAAGTAGGAGTTTAATAAGTGAAGGCCGATGGATCAAACATAGGCCTTGGGACTGCGGGCTGTGTTGTAGCAGAAGATGGTGGAGCAGTGAAGATGTTTGGAGCTATCCCGGGTATGAATGCCTGGGGCCGGACCTCAGAAGTTGCTCCTACGAAATGAGCGGATATAGTAGGTTGTCCTAGCGGGACGTTCGGGTGGCTGATGGGAATGTTAAAGGTACCCGTTGGTCTTGGGAACAACTCGGGAAATCCAGGGATGACACTCGGGGGTTCTTTTCCATTTGTCCATGCGTACCACATCTCCATTACCCTCAGACGTAAGATTCTGTTTTCTTCGGCCACTGCGGACTCTGAGGCCGGGACGCCCGAGAGTGGGCTATCTTCCGAAATAGGGATTGTTGGCAGGGTCATTTCTGATGACATTTCTGTACTACCTTTAGATCTGGTAAAGTAGTGGTGCGAAGCCAGTTTACCACAAAACCAACCACCTGTTTCTATAAACCTAACTGGATTTGACAGCGGCAAACGGTTAGTTTGAGATAAATAACAGATAGGTAATCGCACATTGGGGCGTGATGCACCTACACAGTTAAATGGACTTCTACATGTTTTGCTTGGTTGCACGCGTCATCCCGACTTTCTTTTGTTTTTCTTTTGTTTTCCCTCTGTTTTCCTCATTTTCTGCTTTCCCTTTTCCTTTTGCCATGGTTTTTCCTTTGATTATTCTTCCACTCTTTTGTTTCTTTTGTTTTTCCTTTATTTTCTTCCCTCTTTTTTGCTTTTCTCTTTACGGTTACGGTCGAATCTGATGAGGATTGCCTACGTATCGCGACCCCGCACGAATCAGACCAAGCGTAGTTCGTGAAAATTAAATGCGAAAGATAAAGAAACAATTTTTTGGGAATTTTCAAGTTTCATTACTAAAACATTCTTTTACAAACTAAACATTTTTGAAAAGGGAACTAATAGACTCAAAATAAAGCCAAATACAAACTCAAAACTATTGATGCGAAAAGGAAGCCGACAAACAGACAATAGACTCTAAAACGGAAAATACAGACTTGAACTATGAGTACATTAAAGCTTCAAAAATGGGTGCCCGCGGGGCGTCATTCGGCCTCGCCGCGGGCTTAGGTGCGAGATCCATTTCAAGTTGCTCCAGTTCATACATTGTCCGCTTGACATAAATCATTATGGCTGAAAAGAAGGCAGTGCGGGTCATGTCTTCACACAGTCGACATCTCTTAATGATGGCATGGGCAATAGTCTCAATCTTGTCCCTGGTTCGACCTTTTTCTATGAGCAAACGCCTTATCTGATCATTACGGGCCTCCAAGACCTGAGAATCCTGAAGATACTGTCTCTGCAGCTGCTGTATTTCTACTTCCATTCGGGCCAGTAAATCATAGCAGTGTCCACTTTCGGTTTCAAAAGCTTGGGCTTGCTTAGCTGCCTTGTCCTCAAGAGTGATCATTTTTCTTTTCAGATTAGCAATGGTATTTTCATAATCCTTCCTCACCTGCTGTCGATACTGTGTGTGCTCTTTTGTTCTTTTTGCCCACTGTGCCTGGAGTTCTGCTATGGAACACTCGGATTTCTTCAGCTCATCCCGGTACTCAATGATTTCCGTTTTCAACCCTTTTATCAACCGTTCATCCGACCGACTCCTTTGTTGTTTATCAGCATCTATCCTCATTTGTCGGATCTGGGCCCTGAGCATCTCATTTTCCTGGGCCAGCTTCTTTTTATCTCCCTCATCAGCTGCGGCATGCATGCTGTTTTCAAACTCAAGGTCTCTAATATTTTGTTTTAACTAGCCTATTTCTGTTGTGTAGCTCTTTTCTTTTGCCAGCCAACCTCATTGTTCTTGTGATGATTCAGCAAAATTCTGGAGATGGGGTCTTTTAGCCGGCCTTTTGTGCTCAAGTTCTCTCCTGTACCAAGCAAGGTATCCTAGCGCCACTTCTCCTTTGGCCCGATCCTGCACGCAAGTATCTGCTTTTAAATATTGGCATTCAATCCAGATCTGGCAGACTCTTACTTCAGGAAACTATCCGTTAGGGCTAATCTCAATTACTTGAGCACTAAGATCTTCCTCTTGTGGCACTGTTTGGCATCTCCCGAGTTGTCTCAAAATCCGATATGGCGCGTAGGGCTGAATGCTCTTGAGTCCCATCAATAGAAAGTGGGTCCTAGCTGCCGGCATATATACGACCTCATCAACGGGCAACCATCCTAGAGTCCATTATATTTGGCTGGCGGTGAGGGTCCGAAAGAATGATGTCCACGCCGTAACTCCCTCAGGTAGACTAACCCCCTTGATTCTTGTGTAGAACTCTTCTATGCAAGTTTTCTTCGAGGAACCATAACTCAAGAGATGGGAACGGTGGCATAGATTCTCAGTCATCCACATTTGTAGTAACAAGTTACACCCCTCGAAAAAGTTCCCTCTGGCTTTGTAGGCTGTGAGAGCTCGGAAGATATCAGATACTATCATGGGCACAAGAGTGCTTTCATATTGAGTGAGCAAGGTACTGACGATCCCGACTATTTTCAGATCAATGTTCCCGTCTTTTCTTGGGAACACCAAAAGGCCCAAAAAGGTTATCATAAAAGCCACTCGTCTATGCTCATCCCATTTCTGACAGTTACTTTTGATGCATAACTTGTTACCCGGATTGTTGAATCCTCCGACATGACCGTATCTGTCGTATATGAAGCGCGGATTACAAAAACCTGCGGCCAAATCTGGGTTATGGACCGTTCTGGGTATCTTTAATGAATCTAAAAACCGATGCGCAGTGACAGCTCTTGGAGCAACCAGGTATTTTTGCCTTAACGGAACTTCAGCATTTCCGATGTACCCGACTATTTCCTCCAAAGTCGGGGTGAGTTCAAAATCGGAGAAGTGGAAGACATTGTGTGTCGGGTCCCAGCATGTGACCAAAGCTCTTATGATATCCCCCCGAGGCTGGATTTCCAATAAACCCGTAAGACCTTTCAGATATTTCTTGACCTCATCATGCCCTTCACCACCTAAATCATCCCACCATAGCCGCAACTCGAAAGGTATTTTAGTCATTATTGAAAAATGTTCATTTTGCATCGTGCTCATCCTGCACATTTATTAAGGTGATTAAACAAAAAATAAAATTTATTTGACTCAACAAATTGACTATTTTTAATTTTTCACAGATTAAAAGAAAGATCCAGTTTTCCGAACACGGCCTTTCAACACTTCGGGAACGAAGATTTTAAGATTGTGTGAGTCAACCGGTCAAAAATCCAAAAAATGACCAAAAGTGGCCGTTTATGCAAAGTCAGCCTTCCGGCGTCCCTTTCGGGAACATTCGACTATTTTTGACAAAAAAGGGCATTACTCGATTTATTTATGACAAAAATTAAAATTCTGACATTTATTTATTTATTTATTTATTATTATTTTTATTTTTTTTAAGCTATTTTTGCAAAAGGGAGGTTGGACCCGATGAGGATTGCCTACGTATCCCACGCCCTGTGAGAATCAAACCGGCGTAGTTCGGGAAAATAAATTATTTTTGAAAACAAGACTCTTTTTTTTTCATCAATACAACCAAACCCTTTTTCCTTTTCTCCCTTTTTTTTTTGCTTTTTTGAGTAAAACAAACTATAAACATATATTTTTTTTAAAATTTCGGCAGAGTTTCGACAGTATTCGGCGTGGGTTTTCTAAAAGTAGGCAATCAACTCTCTACACTGTTATTTCTCTCTCTTTTTCTTTTTTCTCAATTTTCCCGATATTCAGAAACCGGTCAGCATGCAGGCCCGAAACAAATAAATGCACGAAAAACAAATAGGATGCATCAGGATGGTCTTTCTCATTTCAGGTTGCTAGTCCTAGACGGACGCAACCCCTGTGTTGAGTCCCCTAAGTCAAATGCAACATGATGCAAACAAGAGTTCCTACTAGGGATCCGGCATGAAGTCACGTTATTCTAGGTCCAAAGCCTAGGTATTTGTTATAGACTGTGTACCCGAGCGGACAACTCGAGTCAAGGAGGGGGCAACGTACCGGGGACCCGCGAGATCGTCCGGCTTTGTAACTTGTCTGGCCTCTTTCTTATTTCAGGGTGTGACACTAACAGAATAGAGAGTCTCAACCAGTAAGCACACCCCCGATGGTGAGAAGAGAAGGGTTTCGGCACAGTTTATATACAGTTCAGATAATATCAAAGCGGTAAAGCATTTAGCACATTTAGCATGAAATATGTAGAAAAATCAGATAAAGCCAAACATAACAATTATTCTAAGCTCGAATTCTTAAACCCTGAACCACGTGGTCATGGGTTTTCCCCAGCAGAGTCGCCAGAGCTGTCACACCTCCTTTTTACACACCCGAAGGTAGTTCAAGGGAGTTTTTCCAATTAAAGTGACATTATTCGCAATGAGATTATTTATTCATTTTTTTAAGTCGCCACTTGGGATGGTTTGTTTTCTGGTGTCCCAAGTCACCGGTTTATTTCAAATCCCAAATCGAGGAAAATTTCGACTTACCGAATGGAGTCTGCGAACCAGAAATTCTGAATAAGGAATTCTGTTGACCCGAAGGAAGGTGTTAGGCGCCCCCGGGTCCCGTGGCTATCACGGTCGCTTAAATTGTTATAGATGGCTAAAATATGATTTTAAT